TAAATTTTGCACTTTTTGAATGTGGTAGGGATAGCGATTATCTCCTTTTACAGTTCGCCAAATTGTTTGTGGTGACACTCCCAATACAGCCGACGCATTCCGAACGCTGGTCTCAGGATGATTGTCAAAATGTTGTAAAATACGATTCCCTGCCTGCAAATCTCTTCGTAACGCTGCTTGAAATCGGTTGTTTTCTTGTCGAATTGAAAATGATCCAGTCTCTCGCAATCTATTAAATGTCAACATAAACACTCTTCGGTTTGGCACTCTTCTGTTTGGAAATCGTCGTGCATATTCTCGCACCGCCTTTAAAGCATTACCGTTGCAGAAACCGTATACAAAAACCATATCAGCATATTCACTATTAGAATACGTACGCGGCATATTGCAAAAGACAAAATTCATCTACTGTTAAAGGCTTTCAAAGAGCGACTGACAAATTCATAACAGAAAGTGGAAAATGTAATCAAATATGTCGGTGCTAGATATGGCAAGAAATGTAAACATTTTTTTTCGATTTCTCTGAAACGGAGCAAAAACGAGCATATGTCTATAGGACTTTTTTTCTTAGTTTTTTACTCCTCTACACGCTCCCGAAGTTTTGCCATTTAATTTGGAAACACCCTGTATATACATTTACGTATATTATAGAGACATATCTTTGCAATTTAATTGTTAATTTTTTAAATGTATACATAAATATCCCACATAAACATACTGAAAATTATCCTTCGTTTCGGGAAGAATTTTAATCATATTTGTTTTTATATATTATTAATTTGATAGTTGCTGCTTATTTTGTTTTTTGTTGTGCATAATTTATTTTTAAATAAGTATATGGTTATTTATTAATTGACAAGCAAAAGAAATTTTCGGTCTATTTTACAAAATCGATTCTATCTATTGTAAGTACTGTTTTAATGAAAATTTTCCATTTTACTAATTAAACTAACTATGAATAACTCTATTTTAAAAAAAGTACTTTCAGAATTCAGAGGTTCCATGAACACACTCTGATCAAGTTAAGAGTAAGTGACGAACTCCATTTGCATACTCTTTATAGGGATCCGCGTCATTTTCTCCTTACAGAAAATCCTTACGGGTCCATCTCGCGACGGTACTGTGTACTACGCCGCTTGGCTGCGCCGCGAGATGGACTCGTTTCCCGTAAGGAGAAAATTACGCGGATCCCTATAAAGAAGCATATGCAAATGGAGCTCGTCACTTAAGCCTATCACACATGAAATGCATAACAGAATATAAGCATAACATAAAACCGCTAAACCAATGAGCATCTTATGTAAATCAATATGGCGACATTATGCTGGATGCTCAATGGTCCAGCGATCTTATGTTATGCTTATGCTCTGTTATGCATTTCATGTGCGGTAGACTTTACTCTTAGCTTGATCAGAGTGTGCTGTTCATGGAGTTTCTGAAAGTGCTTTTTTTTAATAGAGTTATTTATAGTTAGTTCTGTGACGCATACTCATTTCCTGCATTTTATATCGTACCGAGATGCGGATATACCCTTGTAAAAAAGTACTACTGCGCAGTAATGCTCAGTAGTATTTTTTTTATAAGGGTTTAACATCCTAAAAGACATTTTAGAACGTCCACTAGATAAAGACAGGAAATTTGGTCATCCAGAAACATCCTAATCATATTTAAACGATGATATCCTATGGATGTAGAATAAGCGGGCATATAAACATCCTCAGTATATCCTAAATATCTCCTAAGTTTCTTCAGGTACGTACTCTGGATGTTTGAAAATCTCTCGATATACATCTGTAGGACGTACCTAGAATCAATTTTTGATGTGTGGGTTTCTACATTTAAGGGATTACACCACCTTGGAAGTTTGAAAAAATCGAATTTTTTTGCTTAAATCGATAGTTTATAGTTTCTAATAGTTTTAATCAAAAATTTCGATGATCTTATGTCGCAAAAACCGATTTAGTGAAGTCACCGCGCCTCGCCGCGCTGTTTCGAACGGTTCCAAGTTGCTCCGACCGGCTCCGAGCCACTAAATTCTGTATAGGCACTTACTGACGAAAATTGGTTGTTAGTAGGTGATTATAGATAATACACCACCTATTTATTTTAGAAGTACAGAGCGATATAGAAATGTAGGTAGTGAAATATAGGTAGCGTCTGTTTTGGGTGTTGCACGACGTTGATTCACTTGAAATTTGGAGTGAATACTCTCTTCTATATAATCTAAAAAGTACATAGGATTTTTACGATATATTGAAAACTTTTTTCAATTAACATTTTTATATAAAAATTTTAGGCGACAAAAAACAACTTTCTTTTTAAATGTTCACCATTTCGGGAGAAATCAATATTTTTAAAAACCTACGTACTTCTTTAGTTTTTAGTATGTAGATAAAAATTTTTGATATTTTGTTCCAAGACAAACCGTATAGAAATTTTGGACAATACCGCGGAGAGGTCCGGCTAATGAAGATGTTTGGCGATACGGCTATAGTACCGCTATTTTGTAAATAAGAAATATAAAAATATTTTTTTCATACACTTGAAGATGCATATAATATAGCCCCAATAAACAATTTTTTATTTACTCCTCCATTTAAAAAAAAAATTCCAAACGTACACATCATTTTTAAGCTGTAACCCCTTAAATTATCTTCAAAATTTAATTTTGACTATTAATTCAACTATCAAAGTTACTTGAAGTAACATTTTTAATTATAACTTAATTTAAACAGACACAATAAATTATAATTAAAAATTTTACTTCAAATGATTTTGCCAGTTGAATTAATAGCCAAAATTACATTAATCGCGGAGTTTATTATAATTAAAGTAACTGCAAGATAACAAAATAAAGTTAGCTCACCAAAATAAAATCTGCCCATATTTCTTTTGCATAATCAAGCGCTTGTTCACGCAAATCTATTATATGTGCAAATCTGCGAGGCGACCAATCGGCGATCGATCTCTCATCCTCGAAACCTGTCGACGATGCATTCAAATAAACATTCATCGAATGATACATCTTGCTCCTCGAACTGATCCATTTATTCAATATCTCGATCGAATTGTCAACATTGTTGTCGCTGCGTATCCTGAAATGATTAACATAAAATCTTCGCATCTCTTTTAAGGGACTCTGCATTGTTATATTTTTCGTAGAAGCAATATTTATAAAAAGCAAGTTAAATCAAGAAATAAAAGTTAATCTACATTGATCGAAACTACACTGGATATTAACAAATATAATAACACAAATAAAAATAGATAAATCTCCGAAAACCTACAGCGTGATGGATAAGGCTCTACGCATAATGGAAGAAATATTAGGAATAAATACAGGAATAAATATTAAGATTTCAACCTATCAGATACCAGTTACACCGGAATACACGGTTTCTGATAGGTTGAAATCTTAATATTTATTCCTGTTCCTAATATTTGATATATTGTGCACAGGCCCTTATGCCTAATTCACACTGGACGCAGTTCACGCAGTAAGCGTCAAACAGTGGAGCAGCAATCAACCAGCAAGGCGATATTGTTTACGCCACTGTAAATATCGCCTCATTGAATACATTTACATCCTTAATCGGGTTTAATAACATCCGTAGTTACGAAACTGGCCAATCACAGTCGTTCCATTCTTCCGAGGAACAGCTATGATTGGCCAATTTCAAAACTATGGATGTTATTAAACCCGATTAAGCATGCCGTGTAACAGAGGTCACTGATTGGTTGCTGCTCCGCTGCTTGACGCTTGCTGTGTCCAGTGTGAATTAGACATTAGTTTCCTCAAACTGGCGCGGCACAATCACATCCGGTATTATATTCGCGCGTTTGCGAATCGACGTGTTTCCACATGCGCCGCATCGATTGGCGGGCAACTTCAAATTTATAAATAAGTTTGAAACCGCGATAGAACGAATGAAAATGTGATGACAATCGATGGAAGCGATTGTTTCGAAGTATTTCTAATTAATTTTCTCGTATTCGCTCACACTTGAGGTTTAATTTTAGTTGACGATCATTATATAATCAATATAAGACAATTCTCAATAAATAATGAAAGTGAATTCTTGCGTTATTTTAACATCTAAATTAAAAAACGCCGATCAATTTTTTAATTATAAGTACATCGATATCCAAAAACGTTATATTGATTAATTTAAGTGCTTTCGCGAGTTTTACGATATCGTTACCAAACAAAAGAATGAGGTTATGTTTCGTCACTCACCAAAAACTTATTCGCTTCTTTGGGTAATCTTGATGCTCCAACAAACTCAGAAAGTACGGCAACGTGTGTGCCTTATTTCTAACAAGAACACTAATCAACACAGTCGGTTCTTTTGAGATTGTGTTGCACGTAACCAACCACGTGAAACCAATGAGAGAATAAATAATTAGATATCCTCGAAGGATCATCGCGATACAGATATAAAATCGATACATTTTAAGCACGTCTTTTCGTGTTCACCTATTACAAAATCTAGATAAACGAATGTAGAGATTATGCGAAGAGACAACCCCTCTAACATGATCTTTCTATCTCGTCATTCTCATTCTATTGTCACGAGTACGTACTTACGACGACTTACGTAGGTCTGCGCAATCGATAAAACAGGAAATTGTACGCAATATTCATCACATGGTGGCTGCGTTTCGTTAAATAGTTACTGCAAATATATATACTAAAAATCTATAGCGTAACAGGAACTATAGATTTTCACTATACACAGTGAATAGTGGAACACAGCCAGTGTGATCAATTTTATCTTATAACATTTTTTATTCACTTTTTTAAATATATGTATATATAAAATATATTATATCTCTAAATCCCCTGCTTTCCCCTTCTCTGTTTTTTCTCATCTTTTTCCCCTTCGCATCCCCTCCAAGTTTCGTATAAAAAATGTATTACAGAATTTATACAAATTTGTACTTTACTATTAAAATATACATTGATTGGCAAATTTTTTTTCAATACGTTGGTCATATTTTTATTATAATTTAATTTAATTTTGTATCGAAAAAATATCTTCTTTTGTTTCTTTTACTTCTTTTGTTTTATTTACTTCTTCTGATTTTACCTTTTTCTTGTATGCATAACTAAGTTTGGCTTTGTCAAATTCTAGAAGCATTATACCCAAATCTCCGCTGTATCTATTCTTTGCAACCTGAATACAAGATTAAATAACTCATCATGTTGAAGATTGAAAAATATTATATCATCCAACAATTGCAGATGTACATACCTGTAAGTATTTTTTTCCTTTTATACTAGTAAGTCTTTTATCTTGTATAATCAATACATTATCGGCTTCTTGACTCGCTTTGGCACTGCCAAAAATAGACAAAGCTGTCAATTCTTCATCTCGTTCTTTTCTTGGATGTATAACCAAAGTAACATGACAATTATATTGTGTAGCAAAATTTCTGAACTGTGCTATGATCTTGTCTTGTTTCCAATATCTACGATATAACGCTGTATAAAAAAATTAATTTTTCAAAGAAAGATCAAACACATTCGTCTCACCTATCGGTCATTTCTTCTGACATGCCCATCATAAATTGCATATTGTCAATTATCACATGAGCTATGTCATGTACGTATGTTGCATGCATAACTGCCTGAAATAAGAAAGCAAAATGTTATATACAACATCAAATTTTTCATTTATAGATAATGTCTTATAGATATAATGTCATACATCCATAACAACTTTGATATTCTGCTGACCGTGAAAAGTCATAAAGTAAATTGGTAATTTGTTAAAAGCATCTGCATATATATTGAATTTATCCAAGTTGTCTTCCAAAGGTACTTCTGCCATTTGTTGCAACATAATTCTAGCTAAACGAGCATTTCTGATTTCAAAACTACCCCATAGTGTATTGACACCTTGCATTGCTAAATCTAGCGAATATTCGCTCATAAATGTAGTTTTGCCACTGCCTAAAAGTTCATTGATGTGCAAAAAATGTAATATTATAAGCAGCATCCTCTGATGCAAATGATTTAGTTATCTCTTTCGTAGTTAACTGATCTGTCTTACCAGTTGGGCCAGTTAATATTGTAAACTCTCCTCTTCTGTGTCCTTTTAAAATTCGATTTAAAGCAGGATATCTTTTCCATTTTATACCTTGGACTCTATCTATATTTTGCAAATCACATAATACATCTTGTCTGAGGTCATCAAAAATAGTAATACTTTTATGCCAGATTGGTTGTGCATTTGCTAAAATATGTTTAAGGTCACAGTTTCTGTCAGCAGCTAATTTCGGTCTAGGTTGTGTGTCAATTGGTCTCACAAAATAACATCTCTTCTCATTTAATTTCTTAGCGAATTGTCTAGCTGTAGACCAGCTAGGTTCGTCATTTCCAAACCATAAAATTAATTTTTTAAAATTTTCAAAATTTGGCAACAACTGCTGTGGCAAGTGTTGTAAATTGTACGGCAAGCAGATAATCACGTTTGCTGCCTTTCGAGATGCTAACGCTAATAAATCGTGTATTGTTGGCACGACCACTGCAGTCGCATCACTTTTACTATCTTTTTGCTTGTAAAGAATAAATCCACTAACATTGGAAATAGGTACAGTTTGTTCTAATTCCGGTTTACAAGAAAGAACTTTATAACCCACAACAGTATCGAAAGCAATTAATGGAAAATATAATGCTGGTACAGCTGCATATATACCATTTAATTGTAAAATGTCCTCTTGTGAAATTCTCTGTAATAATTTTCATTAATGTGTAATATTCAGATACATGTATGTATAAACATTGAATCTATATTAATCTATATTATCTTACTGGGAGAGAGAATGTATTCAGAACTTCTTCATATAACTCTGACGACAAATCTGCAATTTTCTGATTAGATTTCATTATGTTATTCCATTTTGTAGCATAATCTTCTTGAACTTTTGTAGCATTTCTCAAAGTTTTCAATTCTTTTTGCATATTATTTGCTTTGGTTGATTTTGTTAATAAAAATTTCTCCAATATATTCCATTCTCCTTTAGAACTGCATTTATAACATAAAAAATATCCTGTAATAAAAACAAGTATATATTTGTATAAGATAGTTATTTTATCAATCTCTTTGCCGACCTTTTATCAAATATCTTCTATACATTTTATTATCTTATATATCTTTCTTTACCTGTTGTCTTATTAATATAAATATTTGCCTTTTTAGATTTTTCAGAATTACATATAGGACACTCGGTGACTAGACATGCATGTCCATCAATGGTATTAATGTTCTTTTGCTTCAGTACTTGTTTTATGTGAAATAATGATATCCTAGATACTGGATCATTTATAATGCCACTATCATTAGAATACAAACGACGATAAAACATCCAAAATTTATCATGTCTTTCTGGAGTTAAAGAGCGTACCAATAATTTTAAAGACATTTTTCTTGTCTAATTGAAGCGTCATCAACATTGAAGTTATAGATCTGGTAGCATTGAAATCACTTTGATCAGTAATAAAAGCTAATATCTCATCAATGGAACTGTAAAGAATTTTATCTGTATAATTATTTTCATCTTATCTATATTATAATCGATATAGACTGCTTTCCTTCGGAAAATGCAGTCAACATAAACGTCGTTGAACATTTTTCTTTCCATGAATAATACAGATAGAACAACATTCGTATCGACTTGTTTCCTGACAGAAAAGCAGTTACCATTTAGTTCATAAACATTGCAATTATACAATTTATCCAAAATATTATTCAGCAAACAATTACATGTTTCTCGTAAGAGCATGCCTATTATGTACATCATTAGAATATAGATTACATTTAAGAGACAAACATAACTTGATATGATTTTTGATAAATGCTTAGTATAATGCTCTCCTCCGATTTTCCTGTAATTTCATAAATTTTTGCATTTTCATGTATAAGAAATATTTAACAGAAGAAAAATCGTTAGAAAACTCTCAAGTCCCGTTTTTTATATCTCGAAGTTTTTTTATGTTTACATAAAAAGAATAAGGTACAAATTTTGAAACACAAACTGCTATAATTTAAATTATATAAGAAAATAATTTGTTTTTAATTAATTAAAGCAAAGAATGTGTAGAGAATGAGCAGAGAATTATTATTTAAAAATTATTTTCTAACTTAACTAAAAAACTTTGAAATTAAAAAACAAAAGCGGCACTTAAACGATTTTTCTTTTCGGAATCTATTCTACGCAATAAAATACAAATTTACATAATAACAGGAAAATCGGAGGAAAAAGCGTTATATTAAGCATTTATCTGATTTTTTAAATTGTATCATTATTGGCATTATCAACATCACTAAAACAAATCTCTCAAGAGATCTTTTAGGACGTTTCAGGACGAATGATATTTACATTTGTTTTATTTATATTTATGTTGATATTGTCGATCCGTGACAATGGAAAACCGGCATATAGAGCACGTGTCACAAAATAAAGCCAACACCAGGGCCCCTATTCTTGGTTATGTGCCAACCTGCCGATAGCTGTGTCCATGGTATAAAATGGTATGCTCTTGCGCATCATAACGTCAGATAATCAATGGCTGCGTTCAGCAGAACGTTCGTTTCGCAACTGTTGGAAGTTTCTTTCGAGCTGATTGGATCATACTTTTAGATCTAGAAGAATGGTCCTATCTCAGCAGACAATGAGTGCGTTCAGCAGAACGTTTGTTTTGCAACTGTTGTAAGTTTCCTTCGCGCTAATTGGATCATACTTTTAGATCTAGAAGAATGGTCCTATCTCAGCAGACAATCATAAAACGGTTGCAAAACTGTTGAGTCTGCTGAACGCAGCCATTGAGAATTGCAGCCAGACTACGTCATCATTACGCGGCAAATCCAAATGGTTAAAAATGAAGTAAATCATGGTAGCGTCAATACATTAAGATAAGTGAAAGGATTTTATGAGAATGATGAGTGATAAGTATAAATTTGTGATGTCACAATTCGTTTATAACATTGTATTCAACAATACTAATGATTTTTACCATAATCCACATTTACTTCATTCCTGCATACTTCACGCCACTTTGTAGCAATCTTTTGGAAATCTAAAAAATTTTATCGTTTTCCCTTTCATTTTTCGTTAACTATTTTTGCACCCTTTCACTGCACAAGCACTCATTGCAGCCAAAATTTTTATTCAAACAATAAGTAATAATTGTTTTCGCGAGAAAACAGAATTTCCACAATGTCACGCGTAGCCATATTTTAGTTGGCCGAAGTGGTCCGAATGTAATGCGGGGTCTACAATAGAAATCGTAGCAGTCGTAAGGTCTTAAGTCGTAGAAAATTGACCAATCACAGTCGAATATGAGAAGAATAATCAACTGTGATTGGTCAATTTTCTA